AATTAGTAAAACATATTTATTTATTTTTAAAAATAATATTTTATAATTTTTATAACCTTAACATTTTAAATGGTATCACCCTGCCCTCTCTCTCCTTAATCTTTCATTTGCTCTTCTCCAATCCTTCCTGTCTACGAGATAGAGAACTGATCTGGCTAACAGATTCATTAATTTCAGCAATACAGGTCATGCCACTGAAAATGAACATCAATATCTCAATTTGTAGCCCAATAAGGGTTAAATCAGAGGCCAATTACCTCGACCCAAAAAAAAGAAAAAATTCAGAAGTCAATTCTGCCTCATTTTCAAAATTCAACAAAAATTGGAGAAATTACTTTGCTCAGGACTACCCAAGAACCCATCTTTAAACTAACAAAAGAAAAGCCTAAACTTAAAACCTGTAAAACTTAGGCTAAAGCTTACAGCTCATGACTACATATAAGATAGTTTATTAAGATAAGTTTATTAAATGCTTACTGATATTGCGGATAAGCAATATTCTTACACAGCTGTCCGAATAGTGCACATAATCAAAGACTCTAGAAGTTGATAGATATTATCCCACATGACTCGCAAAGTACAGGGAGACCGTCACCATTTACTGTGAACCTTATGCTATGAATTTACTTCCCTGAAGCAACAAAGCGCCTCTGGCTTAGGAGCAACTGGCACCAAACAATTAGCAAATGCTTTAGCTGATGGAAAACTCCCATGCTTAAGCCACCGGCAGCACCAGAAACACAGAAACTTAGAAATCAAGCAGTAGCAGTGGGGCACGGGTGAAAGGCAGTCCCGCATGCAATCCATTGTCGCTTCCTTCCTTGTGGCACAACACACCCAGGAACCTTCAGCCATTCTCCGTTCTTGACATTGTAAGTAACTAATCGGTTCATTTGTCTTGATCTCAATGACAACATGAGCAAACATTTGTTGCCCAAGCAAGTCATCCTAATGTGCTTCCCATAAAACTCCAAGCACCATATATTTGGCATTCTGTCTACCTCCTTCCACAAGAGCGTCATTTTCTGCAGCTCCCATATGCACACACAAGTGGCAGCATTTTTTGTCAGCAACCCCACAAGCATGATCCTGCCCTCACACTCTGCTAGTGTGTGGTCACTCAGATGAAGCGGGGTTGGGATGATAAATTGCTTCCATACCCCAGTAATCATGTCATAAGACACAATCCCTTCAGGGTCTGATCGCATGAAGTAAAGAGTTCCATCAATGGAAACTGCTTGTGAACGGAAATTCAGTGATAGTGGCAGTTTAAGGTCTGCTGGTGTGCTTCCAGGCCGACTCCATGAGTTCTTCACTGAATCATAAACTTCATACTCACCATCACAGCCAACCCAGAGGATCTTGTAGCCCAAACAAGTTGACTTCCCATTCAGAGTCATCCCAACAGCAACACGGGACCATACCTTGACTGATCTAGCTGGCAACTCTCTGAATGACTGAGTCAAAGGGTTGCATACATAGAAGTTCCTATGACCAAGATCAAGAAAGCAAACTAGGCCCCCTGCTGAAGCAACTGGCAAAAGAGTCATCTTTGTTGGCAGGAAAGACATAGTGGGGTGGTGCCATTTCTTTGTGGAAGGATCATACATGGCTCCGGATGTCAGATTTTCGTGACTGACGGTATAGAACCAAGGATTCACTTGGGGGACTTCAGCACAAAGCTGAGAGAAACTCTCTGAGTTTAGCAAGGAATTCCATTTCTGGCAGACAGAGCGGAAACGGAAGAATGCTGCAATAGGAAGCCTTGCAATGACTGCTTCAAAAAGGTCTTCTGGAAACTCTTTCCAGATTTCTTGTCCCATTGCCTCAGTTTCATGGGTTGTTCCAGGTAATTTACCTCTGTATCGCTCCTTTCTTGCTTTCTTATTTGACGGAGGCTTAGCAGGTTCCAACATCTTGCTATTTCCAGATTTTCCAGCTGCCATCACAAGTGAGTAGCAATCATCTGTAGAAGAACCATCATCGATATGGGGAATGCACCATCTGGGTAGAAGCAGAAAAGGTTAGCGATCTGGCTGCCAACTCTTGTACTGAGTTCTGAAGGTAAAATCCAAAAGAACTTGGCTGCAAACATGCCCACATTAAGTTCTAGTTGCACCCTCATTGCAAACATCAGAGGCAGTACATAATACAGCCCAAAACAGCTAGTTCAACTTTCTATTTGCTTTTGCAGAAACACAAATTAATGATGGAAAGCTTTTGGATTACCTTTATGAAGCTATTATATAAGTTCAAAATTTGCTATAAATTTTCAGGGAATAATGTTACAAATTAAAACTACATCTGAGAAATTGATTGTGACAATATTGATTCTAGAAAAATTGATATGACACCAAGAGAATGCAAAAAATTTAAAATGTTTAGAAGAAAGCATTACTCTTCAAGAGTAAAAAATTATGTCAAATTAAGATGGTTAAAAATGAAAATCTGAATTAAACATGAAATTACAAGCCTTTGGCATGCCAGTACGCTCTCTTGTAGCAAGTAGAAGCTATGAGCTGACAGAGGAATTCATGAAAGAGTCTAGAGACAAAATCCTACAGTTACAAATGCAAAACCTTCTAACTATCAAATCGAAAGTGCAACTAGGTTTCCCTGAAAGTCTTGTGCCCTATATAGCAGAACATGTATCATAAGTAACAACTGATTTGTGCCGCAGGTTACAATGTGACTAGATTATAAATAAAGGTTCAATACCCTACCTTTCCTAATTGATCCAATATTTGAAACAGAACCTCAAGGACATGTATGCAGGCCTAAATTTTCAACCTAGCTGTCATAAACACATACATAATATTCATAAATTTTAAAATTTTTTTTATTACATTATATGAATTTTAGATTCAGCACCTCTGCAAAAGATCTACTCAAAAACACTTCAACAAACTACAGCTTGGCCAAACAGGCTCACGCCTAACATTTGACCACCACAACTGGATATGCAAATAATAACACCCCATACAAATCAACAAATATGATGCACATTCAAGTGGTCATCTATGAACTTAGGAATGGAAATTTAATGAAAATTAAGATAAAGGAGAATTTAAAACAATGAAACTTGAAATGATATAAACAATATAGATATATGGTCCAGGATTAGTAATCCACTCTATAGTCTATAACCTGTAAAAATCGATATCAAAATAAGAAACTTGATGCACGCTCAAACAAAGAATGGCAATAGATTATGCAATAAGAATGTGGAATCATTCCATAATCTGCTAATGGTGAAATTGAGAATTACATACACATACAAAAAAGGATAAGAAATGCCAAACAACAGCGAATTATACTCAAATCAACTGAAGGAAAGAGAATCGCCTAACGAAAAGCTTTACAGCTGCAAAGAAAAAACAGAATAAATCACCTAATTACCAGCAAACCAAACACACACCAGAAGACCTAGAGCACAGGAATGAAACAAAAAAAGCAAGCACAAACAAGCAAATTCCGAAACAAGAACAGAGAAATGCGAAGGTCAGGAAGCGAAATACAGCACACGGAAAGAGAAGAATTAGAAGAGCAAAGAGATCTACGGAAGGGTGACAGAGCGGAAACCTGTGGTGGTCTTGTTGCTGCGGCGGCAGCAGCAGCGGTGGGGGCGGACGCGAGTGGTGGTAGTGAAGGAGGTAGAGCGGAAGGTCGGAAGACGGTGGCGGCGGAGAGCCGTAGAGTTGGAGTAAGTCCTGAAGCTGAGCGATAAGCTGCCTGAGCATGGCCAGCTCTTCCATGCCCCAAACACAGCAGAAGAAGAAGAAGGAGAAGAAAGGCCTTCAAAAGTCTCCCTCAACAATAAAACCCAACATCCTTTCTCTCTCTCTCTTTCGTCCCGCCGTTTAGCCAATCATCTGTTGCCACGTCGGCCGATAATCCCGTAATAATTCTGACCCGCACGCAACTTTGTCTTTGTAATGATCCGGATCCCCTCCCCCTAATTCTTACCCTGAGTATCTTTTGTACTTCTAATTCTACCCTCGTGTTTTTATTTATTGTCTTTTGATAAAATTCACACTTTCTCATCCCTATATTTCTCAAAGTTGCTAGATTAACCTCTAAAGTAATTTTTTTTTCATATAAAGCTAAACCTAAATGCTATGTGGTTGGAGCCATGTTTATTTAAGAAAATCAAGCTCAACTTGAGATTTATTTTAACATACTCTCTTGTTTCTAAACTTTCTTATAATTATCTATAACAATGTTTAATAATAAATTTCACAATTATGAAGAAAAATTGATATAGATGACTCAAGTCTAATGTCTCAAAAAAGTTTAATTAAAGAAGCAAACAAAGGGTGTGTTTGAGATTATTATAAAGTGTTGTAATTGTAACTGTGATTGTGGCTGTATTTGGTTATTTATTTTTTAAAAAATATTATAAATGAAATATGATAGATTTTATTAATTATTAATTAAAATTTAAAAATATTTTAAGATATATAATTATTAAAATATATCATATATATTATTTTTTAATAATTTAGATTTTTTAAATTTGTTTTTATTATTAAAATATTATAAATTATGATGTAATTAAATTATATGAAATTGAATTTTAATGGGTAATTTTATAATTATATTAAATATTTAGTGTTCTCTGTAAAAATTATAGTCAGAAAACTTTTAAATGAGGCTTCTAGTTTTATATATAAAATTACAGTATATTTGCCATGATTTTTTGCAACTTTTAGAAAAAGCAATTTGAAAAACAATTATCAAATATACATATATCTAAAAGTACTATATGGTTACATGAAAAAACTCTAACCGCAATCTCAAACACACCCTAAGAGTTTTAAAGTGGAATATAATAAAATCTTGAGTATGGATTATTTACAATATATTGAAACAAGCATTAATAGGATTATTATATAGTTATTTTCATTAATTTTGAGAATGTTTATTGTCGAGTAAAAAAATCTCACATTCAATATATAATGAAAAAGTATGTGAGTTAAATTTAAAAAGAGTTATTTCACATATTGTTAATTAATTTTAGATTAATATAAGTTGTTTATTAAAATTCACATGCATAATTTTTACATTATATCAAAGCTCAAGTTCCATCTTAGAAAACCCATTGTTGGCCCAGTGTCACGAAACAAGATATGAAGTTAATATTCTTAAATGTCTGGTCCGAAGTTGATACTCTTAAATATAAAAAGAGTTACTTCACCTATTATCAATTAATTTTAGATTTGATGCAAATTTTGTGTTGAAACTCATTTTCACATTATGTTATTTCATATCATGCGAGAGAATATTGGACAACAATATTGTTTTAGAAACTCAATGGATAACTTTGTGAAAGTTCATGGGCAAAAGGTTAAGGTTTTTGAATTGTGTTTTTGTGTTTGGGTAGGCAAAGGTTAGGAGGGTAAAAGGGTGAAAACGGGGATGTATGGAGGTTTGGGGAATATGATTCTGTCAAGAAAGTGGGAATATTAAAGTGTGGAGCCATCCACGTGTGTGAAGAAGAGGATGATGATGGTCAAGAAGACCGATTGATCTTTTCTTCGTGCTTTTTGTGGGGAAGAGATCGGACGGCTGAGATGGCGTCTCTACAGCCACTTTGATTTCCACGCAGACGGCATGATTGTTCCTCCACTTTTATTTTCATCATGATTTTATTAGAATTACGGAAGTACCTACTTGATGCCTCCTCTTCATCAAATGTCACAACTACCCTCTTCCAATAATAAACTTTTATTTATTATATTTTCTTCACGTGCAAAATCTTAGTTTATTTTCATAACCTACAAAATAGAGAAAGATATTTTTTTAGTATTAATGTTGTCAAAATATTATTAATGAATAAATATAAAGGGTAATTTTAAAGTATATTTTAATAATTTTATTATTTAAATTGTATCAAAAAAGTATAGTTTGTATTAAAAAATACATTTCTGTAGAAAATATGCATTTTATTTTCAAGATCTATTGTCAAATGCTTATTTGTCTATGCCAAATTATTGCTAGTAGATGTTAGGCCCAAAAAAATGGAAAGATTAAGTGATTAAAAAAAAGATAAAAATAAAAATAAAGATATTTTAACACTTTAAATATTAAGAGTTTTTGTGAATTTGTTTAAATATTTTAATGAATCTTTTTGGTGTATTTAGTTATTGAGGGTATTTTATTTTTTTATTATTAATTTTAACATTTTAATTGTCAAAATATCTTGATTTTTCTTAATTTTTGAAAAAAAAAAAACACTTTTGGAAGTTTTTAGCTGTTTGGTTAGTGAGAAAATTTTTCTAGTACAATTTTACTTCGGAAAGTTATTGATAAAATTTTGTTTAAAATGCTAGGAATATATAGGGCACAGAGAATCTGCACGCAAGAAAGTTGAAATTGAGCCTTATAACCTCGGGGGTGTAGGGTCTCAATCAGTTTTTAAAATATTGAGTTAAAAGTCTTAAATTTAGTTTGATAATGATATAAATTTATTAAAGTTGAAAGAAATATTTATCATTAATTAGCTATTATAAATTAACATGGGCGCCGACGAGATGAACATTGACCTTTTGTTTTTTCGTTTAAAATGATTTAAGGTGCTTTTGAAATATTTTACATGTACTTTGATATTAATTTTTGATGCTGTTTTTAAGGGTACATGCATGTCCTACATTAATTTATCACATTTAAAGAAAATTAAATTATCTTGAAGTTTTAACCCAAAAATTTAAATCCAAAGACATCATATAAGATCACATTTATTTATCAATAAATATATATAACTTGTAATTTAAAAAAAATTAAGTTAAATAATGAAAAATGATCCTTTTTTTAATTTTTTTACTCAATCCACTCATATACCATGCTAATTGAATTTAAAATCTCTTATTTTTATTAAATGAATATTATTCACTTAAACCACTAACATGGATATAACTCTCAAAGTCATATACATTCAATTATTTAATTTACATAAATTATATATAAAAGATTTTATTATATTATTAGAATATGAATGACTCTTTGATAATGTGAGAGGGCTCCTCCATCTAATGAATGGTGTTTTACATTTTCAAACAGGCTTTAAATTCTATTAATTCAATTTGTTCCGGTTTGGTGAGCCACCAATCATGAAGAAGAAGAAGAAGAAGAAGAATGAGCAATAAAATTTCTTAAAATATTCGATCTCCTGAGAGACGTTTGCTTGCAATTGCGTTTTTAGACACGGTGGAGGGTAGAGACAGCAGTTCCGTCACCGGTAAGATTTAGGGTCGTAGGAGCTCCTGTTAAAACTTGCTAACTGCTGCTGGGGGTTCACTGTCATAATAATTTGATGAAAACCTAAGCCTAGAACTCATCATGCTCCTGAATGATATGCCCTAACCAACTACAGCACATAACTCATGTTTTTCACCCCCCCCCCCCCCCCCCCCCAAAAAAAAAAAAGGGGGAAAGCATAACTAATGTTTGCTTCAATCTTGTACTTGCCTATACACCTTCCTTCATCCCAACTCACTCAAACTTTACACAATTTTTCTTCCATTAAATAATTATATTATGAAAATGAGATGTTGCAATTCAGTGAATTCACCAAAACATGAGATATCAATTCAGCTAACTCTTAATTAAAGCACATTAACTTTTCAATTTGAGCTAACTTGAACCATAATATATATATATATATATATCAATAACAATCACATTTACTTTTCAATTTGAGATTGGACATATGAGGTTCAAAACTTTTCTCGATTGGAGATTACTTACAAACTCATACACAATAAGATATTCAAATTAATTAGGTGGTGCAGGCTATGAGTTACGTGCCCATCCTTTATCCAAATTTCAGAATGTAGAACAATAGGAATAGTTGAGCAAAACTGATTTTTTCTATATTTTATTTTTTTTAATCTATGATTGAAAAAATATTTTACAATTTAAATTATTTTGAACTATAAAATATTAATCTTTTGATGGGTAAATATCTTTAGATATTGGGGGTATTTTTTAGTAAAAAAATTTCATATTATATAATTTAAAACAATTTAAATTATAAAACACTACATCTTTTATGTATTATTATACTTAAGTCATGAAATTTATAATAAGATTTATCTAAATTGTATTCTTAAAACACAAGTTAAAAAGCATTAATTATATCTTTTTATAATTAATTCATATAAGAAAATAAAAATTAATTTTAAATTTATCAACTACTCAATTAAAATTATCTAAATGGTATTAATGTTAAAAATAATATTTTACTTTAATATTTTCTTATAAAAATTTATTATAAAAAATATAATTAATATACTTTAACATTTATTTTAAAAATACAAATTAAATAAATTCTCTATAATATTATATACTATGTCATAAAAAAAATTTTGGAAAGAAGAGGGGGCAAAATGAAAGGCGAGGCGGTGGCGTGGGAATGTATATTGAGGAGAAGGAGGATAATCTTGAAAGGGAGGAAGTAATGATGAGAAAGGTAGGCTAAAGTTAAGGTAATAGACAAGTTTTTTAAGTATTCATATATAATCATTAGGTTTTGTCAAGGCCAAGAGGATGAGTATGAGATGCGGTGTGTAATCATTTCATTTGTCTAGGGAAGCCAAAGTCCATTTGAGGGGTTTCAATTTTGGTGCCCAAGGTGCATCATGCCTCATCATGAACAAGCATCATCCTCATCATCACCGTCATGGATTCAGGATTCCCTCCTTCCTTTTACAATCTTATTTTTAATTTTTAAATTTATCTAACCTATATTCTTTTAAGAGTATATGTTAAAATATAATAAATATATTTTTTATAATTAATTTACATAAAAAATAATAAAAATTAACTTTATTTTAATATTAATTTTACATAAATAATTTTAACTAATTAATTAATTAAATTTAAATTAATT